ACGGGGAGGGCTCGCTGGGGAGGGGGTAGTGGCCCCCGGGAGCCGTAGGCACGCAGGGAGCCTGTCCCGGGGTGTCCTGAGGTCTCCACGCTGCCTCAGGGCTCCTCCACAGCCCTTCCTGCTTTATCAGCACCACACTTGTACACAGTCCCATCAGCTGGGTGCCGTTCCTGATCCTCGGCCCTTCGGGGAAATGTTGTGCCAAGGGCGGGTGTTATGTGGAATTTTTGTTGACAGCTTCTCCCAGTTCAAGCCCTATCTTTTGCTCATGAGAAATGCTTAGAGATGGTCATCGAATTACAGAATACAACAGGATTTGATACAGGGACCTCTGCTTCTTTGCAGATGGTGCACTGGTGAACGAGCTGTACAGTTTGCTTCGAGACCAGGATCCTATCGTAGTCGTGAATTGTCTGAGAGCCTTAGAAGAGATCTTGAAGAAGGAGGGGGGAGTTGTCATCAACAAACCCATTGCCCATCATCTTCTCAACAGGTTTGTTTTCCTTGATGGTGTTGGAAGCTCCGTTCTTGTTCCTGTGTTTTGTGTGCTCACAGAGCCGGTGTTTCTGGGCTCCTGTCAGGCACCCAAAGGTGGTGGTGTGTGTCCCAAGAGAAACCAAATTGCTTTTATGTTATGATCTCAAGAGAAATCTGAGATGTCCTGCGTTTCCAGGGAGTCTGCTTCAGCTGCTGGGCTGCTTTGCATTGTAAACTAATGCGGTTAGGTGGGGGTTTTTTGGTGGAAGTGCACACAATGGATCTGTGGGACAGGTATGTTCTAGTATGTCTCTCCCAGTCTGTTGAAAGATATATAACTTTTCCATTGCTTGAAGAAATCAACTTTTCTGTAGATGACTCTGCATGATCTGGCAAAAGAGGGATATTGCTCTGCCCCAGGTTCTTGCCAATGTTGCTGTGTGGCTTAGAGCACCAGCAGAAGTGCACGTGACTGATACCGAGTTCAGCCTGTGTGCATAAACTGGTCAGTTCTCCCGAGATAAAACTGTGGAACACAGTTTCTGAAACACAGCATTTGGTTTGGAACAGAGACCGTAAGGAACTCGGGGTCGAAGGCCTCTGCTCTGCACAGCGCAGATCTTCATGCGCTTCTTGGCTCCTGCAAACTGTGTGCGCTCTCTTGGCAGGATGGCTGATCTGGATCAGTGGGGGCAGAGCGAGGTGCTGACCTTCCTTCTGCAATACAGACCCCGCAGCGAGGAGGAGCTCTTCGACATTCTCAATTTACTGGATGGCTATCTGAAGAGCAGCAGCCCCAGCGTGGTGATGGCAGCCACCAAGCTTTTCCTGGTGCTGGCCAGGGAGTACCCGCACGTGCAGGCAGATGTTCTGGTGAGAGTGAAGGGACCGCTGCTGGCTGCCTGCACCTCTGAGAGCCGGGAGCTCTGCTTCACGGCGCTGTGCCACGTACGTCAGATCCTTGGTAGCCTTCCTGGCCACTTCAGCAGCCACTACAAGAAGTTCTTCTGCTCGTATTCAGAGCCCCACTACATCAAATGCCAGAAGATGGAGGTGTTGTGTGAGCTGGTGAATGACGAAAACGTGCAGCAAGTGCTGGAGGAGCTGAAGGGCTATTGCACTGACGTGTCAGTAGAGCTCGCCCAGGGGGCCATCTTCGCCATAGGTAAGAGCTGTGTCTTGCCTTGGGTGCGGTGGCAGCCCTGGATCTCTGAGGTGGGCCTTTCTCTGCCAAAATACACCTGGGAAAACGCCAAATAACCCATCTGCGCTGAAGCAGCTCAGCGCTCTGTGGAGCAGCCTCCCAGCAGCGCGTTGTGAGAGCGCTGCTAATCCACGATCGTGCCGATTCTGTCAGAAGTCCTGGCACTGAGCTGTTTCAGGCTGCACGGAGTATCCTTGAATCTTGTTTGAATGTCTGCTCTGATGAGATGATCTACAGGAATTGTGTAACTTCATCTTATTAATGAGCCTTACAGTGTTGAGTGGAATCATGTAGTGGTGGAGGAGCTGCTCTAATTCCTGCTCGTTCTTTGAGTCGTGATTGGGGCAGAGTTAAGGTGATTTGAGGCACTTTAGTTTTGGTTTTGTACACTTTAAAATAGGTGAGTTTCTATAGCATTCGTAAGGAGAAAGCCAGAGATGCTAAAACCCCTTTCTTATGTCTGATACGAGGTTGACTCTGATGCCCTTTGGTGTCTCTGCAGGCAACATTGCCAGGACATACACAGAGCAGTGTGTGGGGATTCTGACAGAGCTCCTGGGCCTTCAACAGGTAATCGCCTGCCTGGCCTGTGCTCGCTAGAAGTGGCCTTGCTGGTGCTTGTGGTCCCAAACTCGAGGGTCTCAAAGGCTCTTGGCTTTTAATTTAATCGGTGTCTTCAGGTGGAAGTGTTCCTGGAGGAGCAAGGGTGCGTAGAGTGACCAGACATCATAGTTTTTCCTTCCTTAGGAGCTACTCCTGGTGGTGAAGTGGGAGGTGGTCAAATGGTCTGACGTGGAGGCTCCTTTCTGGCTGTGCCTGCTGATTTAGGGAGTGAGGAACATTTTAGTGACTGTTTGAGGGCCAAGGTGATGGGTAGATCTTTTAAATCGTTGTGATTTGTGTTCCTCATATAATAGTCTGATTCTGTTGTACCCAGGCTTCTCTTTTTCTTCTGCTGCCCTCAGGTCTAACTCCGTATTGTTTCTGCCCTCTCTTTTAAATGGTCTTGCTTTCAGTTTGAAAACCACACGCCTGCCCTCAGCTCTTGAATTCGGTGTTAGCAGCTGCTGTTGTTTCTGTAAGTGGAGAGCAGAGCCTTTGCATTTTGACCTCAACTTCATGAGACTCGTTTTGAATCTGTGTTAGTTTCACAGAATCACAGAATCACAGAACGTTAGGGATTGGAATGGACCTCAAAAGATCATCCAGTCCAATCCCCCTGCCAGAGCAGGATTTGTCATTCTAACCTCATGCGTCTGAAGCACCGTGAGTCAGTGTCTTTTTGAAGGCTGGGGAATGTCCAGGAGAGAGATGACTTTCCAACAGCCAGAGGAACAGCCTGAGGTTTCAGTGCTTTATTTTAGACTTGGAGCAACTTTGCTCTGACAAAGGCAGCGTCATGGGACTGTGTCTCAGATCCTGGTCACAAGCAAGGCACTGGCCGCCCTAGCTGAGATTTGTAAAGTCTCTTGAGTGGGGTTTCTTGGATTATTCCCCCCCCAGGTGGTTTTATGGGAACGCTTTGTTTCATTGCAGCGGTAGTGCAGGCTTTTCGGGACCTGGTTTGGCTGTGTCCCCAGTGCACGGACGCCGTGTGTCGGGCGCTGCCGGGCTGCGAGGATGCCATCCAGGACAGCGAGGTGAGGAGGTTTCATGCTTTGGGGCTGTGGAGGATGGGTGGGCTGTGACCGCTTGGCTTTCCTCCGGCTCGTGATGGGTGGGCGAAGGTCAGAGATCTTCAGAAGACCCGTTCTCTCCTGCCGGTTTATGTCACTGTCATTCTGCTCAACAGCCCCTTATTTGCTCTTTCTTCTGTGGTCCCTTCAGGGCAAGCAAGCGCTGATCTGGCTCCTGGGCGCGCATGGTGAGAAAGTGCCGAACGCCCCCTATGTTTTAGAGGACTTTGTGGAGAGCGTGAAATCAGAGATGTTCCCAGCAGTGAAGATGGAGCTCCTGACCGCACTGGTGCGCCTTTTCCTGTCTCGCCCTGCCGAGTGCCAGGACATGCTGGGGAGGCTGCTCTATTACTGCATAGGTGGGTTCCTATCATTGGGTGTCACTGAAGCTGTGGTGCAGGCTCTTGGGGACCTGGTTTATGGTGTCCCCAGTGCACGGATGCCGTGAGTCAGCATCCGAGCTGCGAGGGGATGTCCAGGATGCGGGGTCAAGTGGCTCCATGCCTTGGGCTGCTGCATGGGCCCTCGCGTTCTGGCTGGGGAGTGTGATGGGCTTACGCTGTGTCCCTGGGAAGCTGGTTTTAGTAATTAAGGGTTGGTGCTTTGGAGAAATCTGGATGATAGAATTCTCCATAAATTATTTCCCTCCAATTCCCAGAGGAGGAGATGGATATGGCAGTGCGAGACCGTGGGTTGTTCTACTATCGCCTTCTGCAGTCCGGTGTGGACGAAGTGAAGCGGGTCCTGTGCAGCCCCAAGTCTGACCCCTCTCTGGGGCTCCTGGAAGACCAAACTGAGCGACCCGTGAATACCTGGGCTGCAGAGTTTAATACTCTTGCACCAGTTTATGGCAGAGAACGCTGGGCGCTCGTCACTGCTCACCAGCCAGCAGAGCCCTCCTACGCTCCTTGCACTGACTCCAGGAACAGAGATGCAGGTAACCCTTCACCCGGGATCCAGTTCCCCGTGTCAGTCCATGTTCTCATGTGGGTTTCTTGGGTGATCGCAGTGCTCTGAGAAAGCTGTCCTCGTGTCCTGGCTGTCTTGTGCAGTGTGTGGCCGATCACCACAGGGGGCTGCAATTCCTGCCCTCTTCACCTGATGGCTCCATGAGATGTTTGTGCAATTGGGAGCCACACCTGATCTGCTGCATCTCACGTGTTTCTGGTTTCATTTCAGAGTCACTGATTTCTGAAGGGAATAAAGAAGTGCTCAAGGTTCATCCTGATCCAGCCAGCCTGACCTTAACTCCTGACGTTTACCTGACTGCAGAAGAGTTTGAGAAGACCTGGCTGAGCTTGGACGTGAGCTGCCGCCTCTCCCTGCCCTGGGGTGGGACTGTCCACCCGGACACCGTCCAGACGGCCCTGCACGTGGTTCACATCCAGACCATCGCCATGAGCAAAGCTGGTGTCCAGCCGTGGAAAGCCTACCTCAGTGCCCAGGACGACGCCGGCTGCCTCTTCCTAACAGAGCTCCTGCTTGAGGCGGCGGATTCGGAGATGCAGGTTTTGGTGAAGCAGAGCAAGGCAAAGCCGGAGGCGCTGCAGACCTTTGTTTCAGCGTTGAGGACGGTTCTGGGGACAGTCGCTGGACTGGGGTCCTGATGGGTCCCTGCTCCCAGCAGGATGTTTGCTCAGGGCACAGCAAAAGTTAATTTCTCTGGCTTCGTTTGCTGTGTCTGATGCTGGTTTTGTACTTGTAAACTGTGCAAGTGTTGACAGCCCCATCCTGGGCCTGACAGTGCGGTGGGGGGGCAGCGTGGGGGGTCTGCCCTCCCTCCAGGCTGGGGAACGGACAAGGCAAAGCCATCAGAGCCTGCAGCTCCTGGCGTGAGTCATGGGAGCGGTGACATCTGTGGTGACTGTCACAGGACACTGACGTGACTGATGGAGCCAGAAATGAGCAAAGTTCAGGGGTGTGTTTTGGAGAGGTTTTTTAATGACAGTTGTAAACAATCCAAAAAGCAGTTCAGAGATTCCAGGACTCTGCTGCTTAGGAGGAACAGTGCAGTGAAGAGAGAAGTATTGAGGCCTTGGCTCCCTTTATATGTGATCTTGTTTTCTGTCTGCTGGATTTCAGTGGTTGGTTCCCTTAGGGGGGAACAGAGCTCTGCTGTGTCAGGGTGGTAGAGAGGGTGCGTGGTGCTGGAGCCCATGGGTTTCTCCTTCAGGAGAAAGAAGTGGATTTTCTGGTTGAAACATGTTCCTGTAATCACGCATCGCCCTCTCTGAAGTTCCCCCCTCAGCGCTGCTGTGAGAAGCCGCAGGAGCGCGTGGTTGTGCGTGACGTGGTGTGAGTTCACGTGCTGTGAGCTGCGTGGCCTGCGTCGCTCTGGCCACGTCCGTGGTACTCACACCAGTGAGGGCAGAGTTGCTGTTCAGGTGGGTAACCTGTGTGCAGTATCACATTTTACCGTTCGTTACTTTGTGACTAGGAGGGGTATTTACAGGTTGGTTTTCCCTGCAGCGCTGTCAGCCTGTCCCCACGGCACAGTACACGCGGTGTGTGGTGCTGTGTGACTGGAGTTTTACAGTTTTTAAGGTTATCTCTGGCCAGAGTTGGGAGTTGGTTTTTTTGCAGAGCATTTTGGCTCCATCTGCTCTGTTGGAAGTTGAGGCTCCTTGGCTTAGGCTGAGGTACACAGGTTTCTGTCACCGGGCTCCATGGGGCTCTGCAAGGAGTGGCTTTGTTAAGCCTATTCTGTAAGATTTATTGTTATTTTTAACTTCTTTTAAGGAATGAATTGTACCTTTAAATTGCAATATGCCTTCTGTGCACTTCACTGAAACGCTGCTGTCACTGTTGAACAACAGGTTTTAGATTTTATTTGATTTTCCAAATAAAAGTGTGGATCATTCCTGGCTGTTTGCTGGAGCAGTTTGTTCAGCCCTGAAGTCTGCGGGCTGGAGTCATCCAGTGACCACCCTGGATCCAGGGGAGCTGCAGTCCTGCCTCTGTGAGAGCTTTTTTCTCTCTGCTTCCTTGCAGAAAGGCTGCAAGGAGCCTTGTGCCAATTGTGCAACCATTTGTGTCAGTCCCATGTCGGATGAGGTACCTATGGGTGAGTCCAAAGGCAGGTACTAAGTCGCTGTGGCAAGGCTCCTGTTCAGTTTCCAGTGTCTGTGCACGTACTGCATTCCTGTCCTTACAGAGAGCGGTGCTGAAGCGTTGGCATTAAGCAGCTTTCAGGAAAAAAGTAGTTGATGGCTTGTTGGCAAGCTGTCCTTGACTCGCTGTGGCTGGACTGAGGCTGGTCTCTGGGATGGGACCTGGAGCTTCTCGCCTTTTATCCAGGTCCCTTTATTGACGAATGAACAGGTCAGTGCTCTTTGATAACTTGTAAATATTTATTCCAGTTGATTGTAACAGAAATGACTGGTTTTGAAACTAAACCACACCCACAGCTTGAATGACGACAAGAGCAAATATCAGCATGTCGTGCAGCCCCAGGGAGGAGTCTGGGGTCAGAGTCTTCCCAGAAGGAAGAACCTGTGCGGCTCCAAGAAGAAGGCGCTGACACCCGGAGGCAAAGCTCACCTGTGCCCTCGCCCCTGCCCGCTCTGTGGTGGGAGAGGCGGCGATGGCGACCTTCGAGCAGCAGACGCAGCTCGTTGTGGAAGCCCTGCTCTTCGATCTGCGGTGTGAGGATGAGGGCGAGTGCCGCAGCCTGGAGACTGACTCGGGAGGTAGGGCCTGTCGTGGGAGGAACGGTCTGTCTGCTGCAGATAACACAGCAGCGTTTGGGCTGAACACGCAAGGGAAGGCGGCTGTAGCTTGAGGTTGGTGGGTTTCCTAAAGTGCAAGCCTGTGATGACTTCTGCACTATCTCTGTTTTGGGGGAAAAGTTGGAGCAAGGTGAAGTTGTTTGCAGGGAAGGTGCCACCGGCTGCTGCGCCCCACACAGGTCTGCAGGTCCTCGGTGACTTGCTCTGAACAAACCAAGTGGGACAAGTTTTAACTGTCATCATCGAAAAGAAAGCTCATAGTGCTTGTTGGATAAAAACCGTTGCTTTAACATGTGAGACAGTGTGGTCTGTAGCTCCCAATAGCATTTGGGCTACTTCGGTTTGCTGAGCAATGCTGCAAGAAACCCAGAATTCCACCTGTATTCGTATCGCTTTTCCCATTATTTTCTCGGCAACAAACTAGTTAAAATACCACAAGAGACACTGAATCTTGCTGACACCAGACAGCAAACAAGGTCTGTTTCTCAAGAGCTTAACAGAAGTCTGTCATTTTGCCTAAGGAAGAGGTCTCCATAGCGTTTTGCTCGTTTCCCTCTCCTGGATTGAGATGCTTGAGCCTCCGCTGTCCCGAGCCCTGCGCAGCACCCAGCGCCCCGTGGGAGCCCGGTGCCGGCACCAGGGCTGTGCTGGGTCGGGAGCAGTGGCTGGCGAGGGACAGGGTTGAGTCAGGAAGTGCTGTCTCCAGATAACGCTGCCCGCTGCTCCGTGTCGAAAGATCCTGCTTTCGGTTCCCTATGGCCCTGTCAAACATGGAAATGGTTTTGCTGAAGCTCCCAGCGTCGGGTAGCTCCTTCTGGCTGAACCTTGCTTTGGTAACATTCAGAAACAATAAATGACACTCTGGTGGTGTTTTTTCCCCCTCAGGATGCTTTAAGAGAAAAATACTTTAACTGGGGTGTCCGGCAACCCCCTCCGCTTTAAGCATTTTAGCTGAGAAGTTCTGATGGGTTTACGTACTTGAAATTTGTGAAGCGTGCCTTTTGCTCCTTTGTGAAAACCTTCACAAATTTGGGTCACTATGAGACTTCAAAACGTTGCAATTTGCACTTGCTCAGAAGAGACCTTGCGTATAACATCTGACTGCTCCAAAGCCCACATGCCGTCGTCCTTTACCCAGAGGAGGGCAAGAAGGGCCTTAGGGATGCGCTGGAAGAGACAGGCATGGGGATGAACTGGGACTTGGGCCTGAACCGACTGGGGTGGGAGGAGAAAGCCCTGGAGAACCCCCAGCACAGAGCCCCAGGTCCCCGTAGATCAATGTGTACTTTAATGGCTGTGACACTTCTTGGGGACTTCTGTTTTATGTTTCCCCGTGTGTCTGACAGAGCTCTGCCCCGTGTTCCCTCCTGAGTCCCTGGGCAGTGCTCACTGTGGCGCCCGCTGAGGGCGGCGTTTGGATGCCATAGGCGGCTGAAGGGGCTGGGCCGTCTGCGTGTTCCCTTTCTCCACCTTGAGCGCGGTGCTGAAGCCCCCACCCCGCTCCCTCTGCTCCAGAGCCCGCAGAAGAGCCCCCGACCGGCTTCGACCCCATGGTGGTGGCCAGTCGCCTGCGGCGCATAGGGGACCAGTGCAACTTGGATTTTGAGAAGGTTTCCTCTGCACCGCTCGCCGAGGTCCTGAAGGGGAAGGTAAAGTGTGCCATGTCCTGCCCGGCCTGGCCGGCTCCTTGTCCGCAGCCCAACCCCTGTCCGCTCGTGTCCCCTCGAGTGTGGGACAGCCCAGCCTGGGACGTCCTGTGCTGCGCAGGGACCATGGGGCAGAGGCAGGGATTTAACTGAACGTTGGGTTTTGAGCCCAGACTGACCCATCACACTGCCATTTAACAAGAGCTCTAAGTGCCCTCTCGGTGCTTGCAGATGGAGATGTTTGGGGCTGCCGTGGACTCTCTCAGCAGGACCTGGAGTGACCAGAACCCCGAGCTGGGCTACGAGAGAGCATTTCTCTCCATTTCTGTTAAATTGCTAACGTACGTTCTTCAGAAGATTGGACCTGTGGTGCTCCCCACACAACTCACAGAAGTGATTAGCGGAAATTCTCGAGTGAGGAGCTACATTGAGGCCTCTGGCGGATGGGTAAGGATGCGAAGGTGGCGGTGCTGTGTGCCTGGACATTGATGGCTCCCGCGTTGTGTCCCTCTCCTCTCCCTCCTGCCCCACTTGGCTCTCACTGATGCCCAGTGCGTCCCCCCACACCCACACCAGGTACCCCAGTGTGGAGCCATGGGGGCTCAGCTGTGGGAATGCCTGGGTGAAGTCTGGAGCCACCATCAAACTGCCCATCTCCTTCTCTGGGTTTAATGAAACCTTCCTCAGGTTTAATTCCTTCTCTGTATCTCAGGAGCTCACCTTGCTCCCTTCGATGGGCACTCAAATAACGAGGATGGGCCGTACAAAACCAACCTCACAGACCCCACTCGGTGCCTGTGACCGGGGAAGGGACAAAATCGACACCCATCCCCCCATCCCAGTCCTTCTCCTCCTGCCGCTTCCTTTAAACCTGGATTCTCTTGATAAAACACACACATGGGGTTTTTTGTTTGATTTCAGGAGAACTTCGACAATTGAGAGAAAGGGCTGTGCTGCTTTCCAGAAGGTGAAGCTGGGCTTTTCGCTGAATTAATGGGAGCAACGCTGTGGTGGTCCTTCAGGAGACTGCAAGCAGAACTACACACAGGCAACTTGTAAAATAAACTGTAACACTAAACCCAGAAGTTAATAAATGTTTATTGTTATTAATTTGTTTTTCTCCTTGTGTTTCTCTTCAATTTAGCCATAAAAGCGGGCTTCGCTCTTATTCAAGGTTTCTAGGTTAGTGCTTAGTGCTGCAGTGATAATTTTCAGACTTGTCAGGTGAATATTTGTTTTAAGACACGTTTCCATTGGTTATTCTCAAGATCTCTCTGTTCCTCTCAGGTGATTCAAAGGCTTATTTTTGCCAAATTAAGATTCGACATTATTTTAAAGCAGGACTGATGGCTCTTTCAGAGTGATCCGCAGTTCATTGCCCTTTAGCAGCTGGACAGAGAAATCTTGGAGCTATTCTGTACCTGATCTGTGAGAAAATACAGAGGGGGAACACATTTAGTGGCTGTAGTCACTATCGGAAAAGGAAACAGAACTTGGTACAGCCAGTCTGAAGTCTTTGCACAAAATGCGAGATATTGGACAGATCAAGGTTGTGACTCCCAGACCTTTTTTTGGGGGTTTGGAGGTTGTTTCTAGTTCAGTGTGGTTTGCCCCAGTTCGGCAGGCAGAGGCAATGGGTGGCCTTCGACAGCTCTGCCTCTCCAGGAGGCCGCACCGGCACCACTGCCCTCGCTGAGGGGCGCAGGCGGCGTCCGCGTGGTTTTAGAAGGCGGCGCCAGGGCCCCAGGTCGTGCGTTTTGTTTTGTGATTTGGCCGCGGTATCGGTTGCGCACCAATTTCCTTTAAGGCCGGCGATGAAGTCAGTAACCACAGCGGCTGCCGGCGCCTTCCCTGCGGCGCACGCCTGACATGACCGCGCCGGCTCTGGCAGCACAGGCGTGGGCTCCGGCAGCATGGACCGGAGGGAGATCCTGCGGCAGAACCTGGAGAGGGCCCGGGGCAAGAAGCTGAACCGAGAGGCGTTCGCCGAGGAGTTTTTGGTGAGTCCCCTCAAGGCGCGCTCTGTGTCTCAGCTGATTTTGAAGGGAACCGCTCAGTCACATCTCCTGATGTGATTTGCATGTGTCAATAAGGTTTTCTATGAATTTCACAGTAGAAAGAGATGCGGGAGTTAACTGGGGTAAAAGGAATGTAAAGATAGAAGAGTAATTTAATGGCATGCATTCAAAGTAGAACTGATTGTTTTTTAAATAATTTCCCAAGTGCTTCCTGTTTTCTGCTTTGTGAGTGCACTTGTCAAGATGCAGTTTCACTTCGCCCGGTGTCACCGTGGGGTTCAGTGGGGAGCATGGAGCCCCTGTCCTCCCACTGCAGTCCGTGATATCCGAGATGTGTGTTCACACCAGGGACCCCCGTTGCTACCTGAGCTTTTCATTTAGTCATTTTGGTAGAAATCCCTGCTCCTGTCCTGTCCCGCAGAGCCGGGAGCGGGGCTGGGGGTGTCCCCGAGGCCATTCCAGGTCTCATTGACTCTGGCGCCTTGGCCAAGGTGTGAGGAGCTGTCAGTCTCGGCCACAAGACAGGCCTGGTGCTGCGCTGTTACCTGGAGGGGCTCCTGCCCCTGTTTGCGATGGACGCACGTGCTCTGGGCCCAGCAGCGCGTCTGGCCCCTCCTGGAAATTTATTTCTGGTTCCCTAAAGGCAAAACCAGCCAAAGCCGGTGATGGCCGTCACCTTCCCCTTTGTTCTGCAGTGCCTGGCGGGTTGGGATCTGTGCGGTGCCCTGATCTGTGAGCTCTGATGCTGTTTTGGGTGGCAAGGTCAGTTGGATGCCACCCCACTGTCGCTGTTAAAGCTGGAGACAGCGGCTGAGCCATGGGCAGAGGAAGGGGGCCCTGCCAGGCTGCCTGTGCTGCTTAGAGAGCCAGAGGCTTCGCCCAGCTTTGACAGACACCGGGAAGGGTAAAACTGGTGCATCTGTAAGACCAGAGATGTCTCAGACACCAGAACAACCCAAGGCACCCCTGGGCAGGGGCTGTGGGGGTGCTGCAGGGGTCCCCGCGAGGTCCAGCCCTGTTTTGTTGCTCCAGTGGGGACCGGCACCTCAGACGCTTGGGAAAAGCTCAGTGCTGGGTTTCCAGGTGTGGGGCTGGAGGGAAGTGATGAGAGCAGCCGCAGCCACGTCGCTTGTTCCACGGAACAACGCGTGGTCACAGGATGCTGAGTTTCCCCTCGCGCCGGGGCTGTGCTGTGCAGTGCGGGGCCATGGGCTGCCCAGCCCGGTACCTGTGCTGGTTCCAGCGGCCAATCTGCCGCTGAATTTTGGAGCCAAAGGGCAGGTGGAAGTCGCCGAGGTTGCCTTTCCTACTGCACGGGAGGAGATCTTTGGCCTGAGCTGCTGCGCACTCCTGCAATGCTATTTGTCTGTCCTAATGCCTCCCCTCTCTTTGTGTGCACAACCACCTGTGCATGCAAATTGTGGTGGTTTTACTGTAAATGACAGGGCTTTTCTTCAAGTCCCTTGTTCTGTTTGTGCAGTCTCACAGCCAGCGTTTGATCCTTTCTGCTCTTACTTTCCCATACGCAGACACTTCCTATGTCAGCTGCTGCAGGGACAGAAAAGTGAGGTGACGCACTGACATCAGCTTCTGAATGCACTGTTCATTACCATCAACTTTGAAAGCACCATTCTGCTGTATTTTTTTCTTTCTATTTTTCTATTCTGTCCTTTGGCAGGATTGCTTGTGCTCCTTTAGTGGCTTGAGCGTGGCTGTTTGCACCTACAGAGAGGGCATCTTTACCAAAGTGAGAAGAATAATTTGATTTATCTGTCTTTTCTGACATAATTTGTTAAAGGTGGTTTAACATTGCTACTTACTCTTAACAAGAGCTGCTTGCAAGTGGAGACTCATCTGGGTGCCATTTACACTGAGCGGGATGCCTGTGTCTCAGCAGTTTGAGGGCGATGCTCCACGTGCTGTATAAATGCACCATTTTGTGATGCTCCATGTGCTGTATCACTCCAGCAGCCCACGTGCCTGTGTGGGCCCCGTCTCAGCACACACTTTCCATTCTCCAGAAGCTTGTGCTGGGGCTCGGGTGGCTCCTGCTCTTGCTGTACCTTGAGGAAAGCCACTCAGGAAGGAATGAACGGTGCAGGCCTTGCCTTGTGGTAGTGAGCCTGACCCCGGGACCTTCACGCGTACCCTCCAGGAGCGCCGTGCATAGCACGTCTCAGTAATTTGTTCCATTCTTTCATCGCAGAAGCTGAAAAGGCAGTCAACAAAGTACCGAGCGGATAAAATCTACCCCACAGCAGCATCTGAGCAACCAGAGAATATCAAGAAGAACAGATACAAGGACATCTTGCCCTGTAGGTTGGAAATGGCAAATGTTCCTATTCAGCCTTTTTTTGTTGTTTGGTTTTGCTGTCTCAAGCCTCGCCCCCAGCGCCAAGCAGAGCCCTCTGTGTGTGAGCAGGACCCGGACTGTTACCTGGCCCTGAATTCCGCTGCTGTTGCAGTGCGCGCTCTGGGAGACTTTGGCGGGTGTTTCCCACACAACAACTCCTGTTCAGTAGGACACACACCCTCCATGGCTGGCCCTGCAAGCCTCCTGGGCAGCACTGCGACCACTTGATTTCCAAGGCCTTGTAGAGAATGGACAAAGATGTCCCTGTGATGTACACAGCAGGCTACAGACAAAAACTGTCATGGCTTGTCCTGGCGTGGTGCAGCAGTCTCCAAAGACGAGTCTGTCCTAGGACCAGAGCAGACTGTCCCTTTCATTCGTCTGAGCTTGAAAAAAAACTAATCTAAGCCCACAGACCTCATATGAGGCTGTGAGACAGAGGACAGGGCGATGCCAGGCTTGCCCTGCCCCGTGGTCAGAGGAGATTGGTGTTGCATGGGGTGGTGGCAGCAGCTGTAGCTCATTGTTCATGCATGGGGCTACAGCAGCTCTGTGTGGGGCTATGGCAGATCTACACTGGGCTATGGCAGCTCTGTGTGGGGATACAGCAGCTCTGTTTGCAGCTACAGCAACTCTGCATGGAGCTACGGCAGCTCTGCGTGGGGCTGTGGCAGCTCTGCGTGGGGCTACGGCAGCTCTGCGTGGGGCAATGGCAGCTCTGCGTGGGGCTACGGCAGCTCTGTGTGGGGCAATGGCAGCTCTGTGTGGGGCT